ACCACTAATGTAACACCCTTCTAAACCCCACGGAAAAATAGGCATTATCAGAGTAAAATTAACATGCATTCACAAAGGGCATCACACATATACTTCCAATTTACTAAAAACCATCTGTCATGCTCAATAACACTGAAATAAATAATCATACTTTACAAGATTTCATTTTCATGTAACAGCGGATATATTTATATCACAATTTTTCATAAAAGAAATATTTACTTTTATCACATAATTGCCTCACTTAGGCACGGAGGCCAACAACACAAAATACATCAGAAACATAACCCAAACGATCCCAGTGTTACATGACCAGAGCACGACTCGACCCAATAAAATTAAATCACTAAACAGTTACACCAATAGCGACCTCGCAACTACAAGCAGTATTACGCCTTGATACCTGCACGATGTCATGAAGGACATCATTCCAGCAGAAGGGTGAGAAATATTATCATAATAACAATGCATATAATCATATATAAATGCACAATTACAAAATACATATGTTCCACATTTTCTCACCACAATACACTTTAAACGTCATATATGTCACAACATACGTTTACCTAATTAAACACATTCATCAATTCACATAAACACACATAACATGTTTATTCTACCAATTCACATAAACATTTATATTCATGTTTATTTCACCAATGCATCATATAAAGATGATAATGCAACTCATAGAGACCGACTCACGACTCTATGCAGATGCAAATGCGATACCGACTCGTTCAGCATGTTCAATTGAAGAACCAAAAGGAACCATCGCTCGTTACCGAAGTAACTCCCCGTCGGGCCTACAATGTTCACACATCGCTCACACCCTACATGGGCACATGGTGTTTCAGGATTGCTCACACCCCACATGGGCACACAATTGTTCTGCAGATCCTCCACGGGATCAAGAATAAACCATCGCTCACACCCCACAAGGGCACACGAGGTTTCTGCAGATCCTCCACGGGATCAAGAATAAACCATCGCTCACACCCCACAAGGGCACATGAGGTTTCTGCAGATCCTCCACGGGATCAAGACACAAGAATGCAATCATGATGCTACACACGCACAATGACTCCACACACTCTTGAAATGCATACATATACACAAAAATATTCAATTACGCATTACCCCACACAAGTACATACAGTTATACACATAATTGTCAAACGGCCACATCTCACACTTTCATACAACAATCATATACACATACCTTATGACTCATACAAACTCCTCAACTCTCGCAAATTCTCATTTGGATTATTGGTACAACACATATACCCCACCAGGAACAACATCACAGTTATTCTACCCCGGTGATTACTACACTAGGAACGACACCTTGTCATTCTACCCTAGTGAGTAAGAATCTCGCACGCTCACATATTCACAACATCATTAACATATACATATATTCTCATGCATACTTCACACATCATCACACTCATCAGGCATTCATGTTTAATTCAAACGATGCATATAATTGCCAAAAGGCCATACTCCACAATCTAGGATTCACGCCATAAGGCTACCCACAACACGTCTCATCACAATAACACACAAACTATTCACGTTGCATAAGGATAACATCGTTGAACCAAGCAATTAACAATTGAATGGAACACACAAGAAAACAACATGTTATCACACTCGCTACCCTATTCGCCTAGCGAGCTCCTGGCGAGTGCTCGCTACCTGTTCGCCTAGCGAGCAAGCTCGCGAAGGCAATCAGAAGCCACTGACTTGATTCGCTACCCCACTCGCCACAGCGAATGCTCGCGACCTGCTCGCCTAGCGAATGTGCTAGCGAGGGTCTGCGAACCCAGAATTTCCCCACTGTCCAAAACTCTGGAATCATCGAAATCCACCCGATTCAATCCCAAATCGTCTCGGTAGCCTTAGCCCAACATTCCTCGACTAAATCCTACCACTCATTCTCATTTCTAACCGTTCAAACTCTGTTTCTACCGATTAAACTCATTATGCCCTAGAATGGAAGATGAGGAAGAACAACCAAAAAAATCCAAACAATCCATACATAATCACATATATTGGTAAGATAACGATACTTCCCACCCTTACCTCGATTAATCGGAAGCTAGAAGTAGTTCTTGAGCTTTCCAAGTTTTTCCTTCTTTTTCCTTTTACTTTCTCTTCTTCCTCCACTTTTCTTTCATGTTTTCTATTTTACATTTTCGTTCCGCTCCCCCTTCATATATCCTTCCCTTCTGTTTCTCTCCAATTTATTTCTTCTCTCACAATGTTTACTAATTCCTTTTCTCATCAAATATCTCATCTCATTCCTTAATTAGAGAATATCTAGTAAGTCTACATTATTCCACCAAATAGAATAAATCAGTTAAATCCAATAATTCACTCAAATCATACAAACCAATTAACTAATATCATTAATCAGTTATTGAAAATTGGGTTGTTACAAGCACGCCATACGATCCAAGCGTGAAACTGTCAAACAAACATAATATGTGAGCATCATTGGATGTCTTAGTTGTGTTATTGATTGTACTAGACCCAACATTGCATATGTTGTAGGATTTTTGTGCAGGTTTACTAGTAGACTGAGTAATGAGCATTGACAAGCTATTAAGTGAGTCATGTGATACCTTAAAAAGGTCATGAATCTTAGTTTGCATTGTTAGAGATTTTCTCCTATACTTGAGCATACGATGATGTAGATTGGAATACCTTATCAAATGACTCCAAAGTAACTAGTGGTTATGTATTTAATATAGTTGGAAAAGCTATTTCTTGGAAATCAAAGAAACAGACTATTCTGATTCAATCCAGAATGAAGTTTGAGATGATAGTATTAGCAACTACTAGTGAAGAAGCAAGTTGGTTAAAATGCTTGCTAGCTGAGGTCCCTTTATGAAAAAACCTTTGTCAATTGTGTTGATCCACTGCGATAGTACCCTGGCTATTGCAAATATTGAGAATCGTTAGTATAACGGTAACTGACGTCAAATAAGGAGGAAGCACAACACTGTTAGAGACTGTATCTCTAAAGGAGTTGTAAGAGTGGATCATGTACACACTGATAAAAAATTTAACAGATCCTTTGACAACAAGATTAGCTAGAGAGAAAGTCTATAATATATCCAATAAGATGAGACTAATGCTTTAGAAAAACGAGTTGCTCATGATGGTAACCCGACCTAAATGACTGGAGATCCCAAGAAATAGGTTCAATCGGTAATAACAAATTTTGAGTATATGAGGTGATCATGCTAGAATAAATAAGATAAGCATGAACCCTAGAGCGATAAGAGGATGAGATAATAGAAACTCTTAATTAGATATATACTCTGTATGAGGGAGTACCTAGGCTATAGGAGTATTCTTGATAGACTCACCTATGTGATTGTGGAACTTAGGCCAGTTCCTATGAAATTTTGAGGGAGAAGTCCTAGATCCTTCACTAAACCGGGATACACGTGCAAGACCATTAAAGCACAGGCTATTATAATACATCTTAAGAAAAGGTTGTGTGAGGGTTTGATGTCTGAGATAGAGTTCAAGACAATTGTGTCACTCTTGTTGAATAGGAATCCTATGTGCAATGCAAAGGTTCAAGTCGTAGACACCTTTATTTATGCACAATCTTAGAAACGTTTGACATTACTTGTGAAACACTTTTTTAAATTCAAGTGTGGGATTGTTGGAACATTATGTCAATATTCAAATATAGAGAGATGAATTAGAAAAAGTTTTTTAAGTCAAGTCACACACTGTGTGTTAGTTGAAAAAACTTCTTAGTCTCACATTGCTTAAGTGAGATATATTTCCTTCCTAACTTCATTATATAAGGAAATTATCTATTTCATTCTAAAATACACCAAAAACTTATTAAGTTTTTCCTTCCTCGCTCTCATAACATTACGTATTTCGAATTGTCGAAGCGTCAACTTCTCTCCCTTTCTTTCTACTCGTTGATTTTTCTGAGTATTTTCTTAAATTCTCTTTAGAGAATTATGTTAATTTCTCCTCGTTTGAGTTGAGAAATTACAAGTATTAATTTTTGCATTATCTTTGAAGAATTATTTGAACTTCTCTTTGTTTGAGAAATCATTTTTAGTGGTCAAATGACCATTATTGAATTTTGTTTGGAGAATTACTGGAATATCTCTTAGTTTAAGAAATTATTACAATTTGTCGTAATACCAAATACTGCAAGTGGTATTTATACCATATTTGAATGGTCTTTGTACCATCAGATGGTGTATCTCTAAACCGATTATCTATCGTGTATGTAGTAATCATACAGTATAAAACTGAATTGTTTTATCCTAGAGGCAGCACAGTAGTTCGACTGCTTTGAATAATTTTGGACAGTGTCGCAAAACGTCTAAAAGAGAGCAACCTAATCTGCGACTCGACCCGGTAATTTCTTGTGGCTAATTTTTAAAACCATGAAACAACCTTAATGTTATTAAAAACTTAAAATTACATGATAATTTATAATTGATCAATTATTTTTACTATAAAAAAGAGTAAACAAGTATGGATCCGAGTACGGACACAAACATTGGTACCCGTGCAAATATAGACTCGAGTACAAAAAAAAAATTAATATGAAAGTATGAGAATGAATACTACCCTGCTCATTCTTACACATTATCCCTCCCTACTTTTGCTTATCATATTGAGTTTTCTTGCTTTCACCAATGTATGCATGCCTAACCATTTAGATTTTTTTAACCAATTTTCCATTCACACATACATAGTTTAGACCATTATATATACAATAAAATGGTAGAAACATCTGCATTTGCTATGCAATTCAAAACAAAAGGTAAAACATGCTAGCTTTCAACATTCACTAGACTATACCACAGTCAAATCTACTATGTTTTTTCTTCCACAAATCAACTTGATACCACATTTACTCTTACATGATACAAAGCCAAGTGCTCAAAAAAGATTCATATGAAATAAGTAGTTTGATCATCACAACTTACTTATAGGAACTAATACTTGATTTTCCACAGCAAAGAAGAATTTTCGGCATCAACAGCATACTTCAGTTCAGGTGGCACACTCCCAGAAATTCTATGTGACAGCAACTTTGACTTCAAAACTGCAAGCAACTTCTTATGACGTGATTCCTTTCTCTTTAACACTTGTACAAAAGCATGAAATCCAAGCCATTCAATTTCTCCCTTCTTCAATTTGAGAATTGGTCGGATACTAGAATTCATACGCATGGAATGCATTCTTCTCTTAATCAGCATGTGCATGTATCTGATAGTTGACAATGAAAGAAAACAAAGCTGACTAATGATTTCAAGTTCTAAAATTGAAGCATAAAGAGAGAAATACATACGGTACGGTACTCTCTTTGGTCGTTTTTTGTGTTTGTTTCTCATTGGCGTCATGAGATAAGTTAATAGAATCAATAGAAACTGAATTGTTAATAACAGTTCAACAGAATAATACTACATCCATACCTTAAAGATTTCTGAATAATGTCCAAACAATATCTTTTGTGAAATTTGCAAACAAATGATAGGTCGCGGATGTAACAATGAAACTTCATTGCACATATCAGAAACATTTGATAAATATTTAATCTGACAACTTCTACTGAATTGATATTTGAATCGAAGAACAAAGGATGGCATTTAGGTCTTAGAAAGAGACGCATCTTCTCCTTTAGACGAGTCCCTGGTTTGTCTTGCCAGCAAACAGTGAGCGTCGAGCTTAAATGGTTATTTAAGTACCTGTTTGGAATACAAAATTAGTTAGTCCAAGAAAAAGAGCCCAAATAAAATCACATTATGAATAACACTTTACACTAGAAAGCTTTCAACAATAGATTTTTCCAATTAAGTAACAAGTATACACATTATATGCCCATAAGATCAATCAAAGTGCTTAAAATAGAGATTAACTTTGTGTAATCAGCCTGAATTTCCATAGTGGAA